AGGTCATGGGTTGGGAGAGCTCCCCCTCTGGTCTCCCAACTCTATTTAATTCAGGTTTCTGTTTCTCTTAATTTTTTACATCCTTAACAGGCTTTTGTTTCTTAATTTTTCACATCCTTATCACTCACTTAAAAGCTGGGAAAAACAATGCCACCTCAGTTCAATTCAGTTGCTCAGTTGTGTTTCGACTCTTTGCAACCCCATGGACTGCAGCACTCCAGGTTTCCCTGTCCATCACCAACTCCTGGAGCTTTCTCAGACTCATGTCCATCGAGTCGGTGATGCCGTCCAACCATCTCATTCTCTGTCAACCCCTTCTCCTCATTCATTCAGCCTTTCCAGCATCAGGGTCTTCTCCAATGAGCCGGCTCTTTGCATCAGGTAGCTTTGACTAGACGGACCTTTGTCAGTAAAGTAATGTCCCTGCTTTTTAATATGCTGTCTAAGTTTGTCATAGCTTTACTTCCAAGGAGCAAGCTTCTTTTAATTTCATGGTTGAAGTCACCTACCACAGAATAATAACAATTCCTTTCTTATGGCAGCTGTGAAAATGAAACGAGGTGAAGCACGTCCAATGCTTAACAGAGTACACTGTTATGAGGGCACAGTAACTTAATGAGGTTCATGCACAGTCACTCAGCATGTCCGACTCTTTGCAACCCTATGGACCGCATGTAGCCTGTTCGGTTACTGTGTCCATGGGGCTTTCCCAGCAAGAATACTGAAGTGGGTAAAAATATATTTTTGTTTAGTTGCTAAGTTGTGTCCAACTCTTCGAGATCCCACAAACTGTAGCCTGCCAGGCTCCTCTTTCCATGGGATTTCCCAGATAAGTATACTGAAGTGGGTTGCCATTTCCTTCTCCAGGGGATCTTGACAACCCAGGGATTGAACCCAAGTACTTTGCTGACAACCATATAGTCAAACTATGGTTTTGTCAGCCCTCATGTACAGATGTGAGAGTTGGACCATAAAGAAGACTGAGCATTGAAAACTGATGCTTTCAAATTGTGGTGCTGGAGAAGACTCTTGAGAGTCCCTCGGACTGCAAGGAGATCATACCAGTCAGCCCTAAAGGAAATAAACCCTGAATATTCATTAGAAAGACTGATGCTGAAGCTCCACTCTTTTGGCCAGTTGATGCAAAGTGTGAACTCACTGGAAAAGACCCTGATGCTGGGAGAGACTGAAGGCAAATGGAGAAGGCAGCAGCAGAGGATGAGATGGGTAGACAGCATCACCAACTCAATAGATATGAATTTGAGCGAACTCCAGGAGACAGAGAGGGACAGAGGAGCCAGGGATGCTGCAGTCCATGGGGTTGCAAAGAGTCAGGCACAACTTAGCGAATGAACAACAACAAGCTTAATAAGGGCACAATTACTATTACAGACTATTATTATTATTTCCTTATGCTGAAAATTTTCTGTTTACTGGACTGGACTAATCCTGACTTGACAGGAAGAAAAGAAGGAGCTATAATTACTCCCAGAGTCTAAGGGCACAGGCTTTGTAATAATGTGGGCTCCGTAATACCGGGCACATGATCTTAGACAAGTTATTTAACCTCTAGGGTCCTTTGGACTATGTTACAGACTACAGACTTGTAATTAGGGCCAAATTAGCCAAATCCTAAATGGCAACCCACTCTAGTATTCTTGCCTGGAAAATCCTATGGACGGAGAAGCCTGGTAGGCTACAGTCCATGGGGTCGCAAAGAGTCGGACACGACTGAGCAAATTCACTTCACTTCATGTACAAAGTGACTTCCCTGGTGGTTCAGACGGTAAAACGTCTGCTTACAATGCGGGAGACCAACGTTCGATCCCTGGGTCGGGAAGATCCCCTGGAGAAGGAAATGGCAACCCACTCCAGTATTCTTGCCTGGAAAATCCCATAGACGGAGGAGCCCGATAGGCTACAGTCCACGGGGTGGCAAAGAGTCGGACACGACTGAGCGACTTCACTTTCACTTTCTTTATGTACAAAGTTAAGTGTTGAGTATTTGTTGAATTACTAAATGTGGATTTTAGACTTAATTCAAATATTCAGTGAACAGCTTGCATAAAATAACTACAATACACCTGTATAAAAAGTCCTTTACTGGCCATTTCTATCTTTTGGGTCTCAGCTCAAATGTTTCCTCCTCAAAGAAAAACCGTCCCTGACCACATCATTTAAAGTGCTTCTCCCACCTGCAGTCACTTATCATCTTGTCTTTACAGCTCTGATAAAGCTCTGAAACTGTCTTATCCATCGGCTGGTTTACCTAATAAGTCTCTGCCACTAGAAAGTAAGCTGCCTAAAAACAGATATTTTCTTTACTCCCACTTCCTGCCGCAGGTCTCAACACTGTCTTTCGTAAATCTAGGCGGACTGAGGAAGAACCGGTAAAAGTAAACGGCAGCAGAGACACTGGCGTCTCAGTCCTCTTAACTCCTTCCAGGCGGAGGAGGACCGCCCCTGCCCATCAAAGAGGCCCGCAGAAGGGACCGCCCCCTTGTGGGCGTGGCCTCCGATGTGGTGTCGGCCGCGTGCGGGCCGTGGTCCCAGGGAGGCGAGCAACGTCACACGCACGCAGGCCCTGCCCCTTTCCTTTCTCGCCACAGGCGGAGAACGGGCGTGGCCAGGCGCGAGGACCCCACAGCCGGCGGCGCTGCCGCCTGAGTCGCCTCCAGGTGGTTGCTCTAGGTTCCTGGCCGCTCAGGCAGCTCGGAAGGCACTCTGTTTTGGGGTCCTCGCTGCTCTTCCACGTCTCCCGGAAGAGTAGCTGGGCCGTGGCAGGTCGGGGACCGGGTCTACTCAACCTGAGCCCTCTCCCGGCCCGCTGCTGAGGAGGGGCGGCCCGGGAGGGTGATCAGGCTGCGGTGCAGCCGCTGCAGAGCCCTCAGGTGAGGCGGCCGCGGGGGCCCTACGGCCCGATGGGTTCCTTTGGGGCGTTAACGGCTTTAGAGGCGGGGGCGGCAGCCCCTTGACGGAGACCCTGGTCTCTCCGTCCTGCTAGGGGTTCGAGAAGAGGGAAGGGGAGCCCCCCTGGATCTCCGCGGACGTTGCTTGGTGCCCTTCCCTTTCCTGCCTCCGCGACCTCAGCCTGGTTTGGCCTGTCTTCCCCCTCCGGAGGCTCAACGAAGTGGGTGGGAAGCAAAGTTGGGGGTTCCGACAACAGACTCAAGGGGACCGACCAGCTGACCCCCAGCCTCCCTTCCTCTGTGTTGACACCTGGCGGGCGAGCAGGCCCTGCCCCCGCCGGTGGCCGCCCGGTCCCCGTTCCACGCCCTCTCGCCCTGTTTCTTCACCTCGGTGTGGGCCATTTATTTTCTGGGCAGAATGACTTCAGAATTCCACCTCGGAAGTCTCCTAGAGTTTTTCTCTTGTCCATGGAGGAACTGCCCAGGGCCCGTCTTAACATTTAATTGGGTACTCATTCCTAAGGCACAGGCTTTTGTTTAAAAGTCCTTTAAAACTTTAAAGTGGGAGGCAAGATGTAAGAAATTAAGTATGTTTTGATCGCCTTACTAGGAGAGATTATTTGCCCCCTAGTTACCACCAGTGTTTACTTGGGAATAATACATACTTTATAGGGAGTTTTATATGTTCGGGAGCATGTCCCTTCCATTTTCATTTGATTTACATAAACTCATGGGCATATAATCATCCCGTTTTGTAAGGAACAGGTTTAGGGGGTGAGTTTCTTCTTGAGGTTATTCAGGTGCTGGGAGGCTAGATTGAGAAGGCAGGAGTTAAAAGTGGGTTTGGCTGACTTAGATTTGCCTGTCTGAGCTGCTGTCTAAACTCTGGGATCTTTATCTTCCGCTCCCCCCCTCCTTTTTTTTGTGGGAAAAAAAGGGGGAGGATATTGCTACTTAACAAAGAATGTGGTTGTGAAAGTTATGTGTGCTAAAGATAATGTTTGCAGGGCATCTAACAAAAATTAATTCCATTCAGCAGTATTTATGGTGCCTACGGTATGCTGAGAATTCACTGGTGAGCAAAAGACATGGCCTTTATCTACCCACTCTCTTCTTCTCCTTCCCCAAGAGGGAGAGATAGAGGGGGAAATACACATAAAACATGAAGGGCTGTTAGGGAAGAGAATGGTGTGTGTACAGACAATGATAGAACCTAATTTAGATGGGAAGAAAGAGCTGGTTTTGAAGCAGATGACATTTGGGTGAAGACCAAGAACGAAAGAGTTAATCGTGAAAGAATGCCAGCACCTCAGGCGAAAGAAACAGTGTGCACATTCAAGAGGTGGTTGTTGACTTTTGTTATATACTATTCTCCTATGTCATGGAAACTAGTTATTTCATTATTTTGATTGATTGCGGCACTGGATAAGTACCCAAGTATATATATCAAAATGAATGGCTATGCAATCATCTTGTTTTATTTGGAACTTAGCCTAATGTGCATATGGTAGGTACAGAAAATCCAAGTTATTGGAGGTGTGTTTTAAATGTGTATATGCACACCTAAATTATCCATGATGGTGTTGTAATTTAACATTGAAGTAGCTTTTGTATTAATCAGAAATTTCTTCAAGTTTTAGCACTTTACAACAAACTTCAGAAAATTATTTTTATTTAGTTGTCTTGGAATTTTGCCATATTGTGTGACATTCAATGGCTTTTTTACATTAAGCTTTACACATTGTTGAAATAGGAATGATGGTGGTAGTGGTAGTTGTAATTATGGTAACAACAACTACTAAAATGAGTGCCTACTATGTGCTTGGCATTTTCAAAATGTTTTTTAGTGTATTGTTTCATCTGAAAACCACCCAATAGTATAAGTGCACTTATCTCCCTCATTTTCTAGGTGAAGTGTTTCGGTTAAATAGTTTGCTCAAAGTTACGTAGTAAGAAACAGGTTAGGCTTTCCAGCCCAGGACGTTCTTGACTCCAAAGGCTGGTCTTAACCACTGTGCTCTGATGCTCAGCCGCACTGATCCTTTTACGTCCTTTTTACAGGTTCACCAACAGGATTATTCTGCTCCCATCATGTCCTGGTTTGCTGATCTAGCTGGAAAGGCAGAAGATCTTTTGAACAGAGTTGATCAAGGGGCTGCAACAGCTCTCAGTAGGAAAGAGAACACCAGCAACATCATTTATAGCAAAAATCCTGACTATTCTGAACTTCACCAACAAAATACGGACTTGACTTACCAGACGGGATCTAAAACTACTTACATCTCCTCAGCAGCTGATAACATTAGAAATCAAAAAGCCACCATCTTAGCTGGGACTACAAATGTAAAAGTAGGATCTAGGACTTTGGGTGAGGCCTCCCATCCTATTGAAAATGCATCTGCTCCTAGGCCTTCATCCCAATTTGTTCGAAGAAAAAAGTCAGAACCTGATGATGAGCTGCTGTTTGATTTTCTTAATAGTTCCCAAAAGGAGCCTACCGGGAAAGTGGAAATCAAAAAAGAAAGGGCCAAAACCCCTGTCTTGCAGAGTTCTCGGACAACCAGCGTCAGTTCTGTGAACACCAGTGTAACCACCGTCAAAACTGTTGAAGAAAATCCTTCTGGGAGCCAAAGCCACGGTAGTTAATTAGGCCTCTGTTTGTTTTAGAGTTAACCAAACTGGATGTGTTATCATAGCCTAAAATGTTCTGGTGGCATTTGTCATCATCTGGGAGGATGACAGGGGAGGCGCTTGTTACCCCTCTGTTGGTAGACGGGCAGGCTCTCTGAAATGTGTGGCATGAACACGGGAGACAGCATGGAACACTGTTAGTCAATGTACGGTTATAGTAGGGACTTTTGAATGTTGTCTGTGGGTAACTTTACCCAGAAAATTTTGAATTCTGGAAGAAAACATAATTTTGGATTTGGAAATGTCTCTAATTCATTTCTCTTTGTCATTTGTGTTATAAAAATGACAGGAGGCTGTACTTCATTTACATTCTGGATTATGAGGTTTTTGGTGTGTTTTTCCCCCTGCCTTCCCTGAGAGTAAAGCATAAGAAACTGAACTTTGATCCAAGTTGGAGAGTTGAAGGCATTGACCTAGTAGTCAACTAAAAACTTAGAATTCTGGTTTTCATTTGTTTCATCTGCTATGAAATTACCTCAAAATGTACACCTTTTCACCTGCAAAAATGATATTTACATGATGATTTGGCTAATTTGTATACCTAGAAGACATTTTAAAACAACAATGAACATGATAAATTCTTGTAGGGATTCTTTATAGAGCTGATAATTCATGGTAGCTTCTTGTGTTCTTAAATGTTAAAGCCTCTTACACAGTCTTGGGCTTCCCTTGTAGCTCAGTTGGTAAAGAACCTGCCCGCAATGCAGGAAATCTGGGTTTGATTCCTGGGTTGGGAAGATCTCTTGGAGAAGGAAACGGCAACCCACTCCAGTATTCTTGCCTGGAGAATCCCATGTACAGAGGACCTGGCAGTCTGCAGTCCATGGGGTCACAAGAGTTGGATACAACTTCGTGCCTAAACCACCACCACATAGTCTTGGCTCTTAGTGAACAAAATTTTCTTCTGTTTCAAGACAAAAAAGTGGTAAAGAGATGGGTTTTGGGCTTTCAAGACAGACACATGCACTGGCAGTTGGTTTAAGTACAAGCAGTCCTAAATTTCTTCTCAACTATTTTTTGATTAATTTTACAAATGCTTATTGAGACTCTAATGGGCCAGGATACAGAATTGAATGGGTTATAGTTTATTAGATGAGATACACATGTACACAGATAATCTACATGTAGTGTAGTAAATGCAGCAGTTGAGATATGGTCAAAGTATTGTGGAAGCATTGTCTTTTTTCTTATTGCTTCATTGATACTCTTTATATATGAAGGCATATGACAGTTCTTTCTTCTCCAGTTTTATCATATGTTTTTCCTCTTTCTATGTCTCAGTGAACAGAAGTTCTTGATATAGGCTATTGTTGGGACTTTTGTACTTCCATATGCGTCTTACAACTTGCCAAGTGCCACAAAAATTATGTGGTCTTTTTATTGAGAGTCCATTGCTTCTATATAGATAGTTTGGTAACAATCAGCATTTTTACAATGTAGAATCTTCTAACTTATTAACATGGTATAATTATTTTTTAGATATCTTTGATTAAGGTTTTGTTTCTTCCATAAAGGTCTTGCATACCTTTTGTTAGTTTTATTCCTGAGTAGTTTATGTTTTTTTAAAACTCTTATAAATAGTATGCTTTAAAATTTTTTACTTTCTGTTGGTTGCTGTATATCGGTTTATGTAAATATGCACACATGCATGCACACATACACAGCAACCTAGACACCTCTTAGGCTTCATATTTTTCTGTACATTCATTTAAATTTTCAGCAACACAATAATATCATCTGTGGATAATGACTGTTTTCTGCTTAACCGTTTTATCTTTTTAAAAAATCTTTTTCTTGCCTTATTACATTGGTGAGTACTTGAAAACCAATCATGTGTCTTGTTCCTTGTCTTAAAAAGAATGCTTTGACTGTTTCAGTTTGTGTTAGGTTTTTCTTAGGTACTTTTTATCAGGTTAAGGATGTCTCTCTGTATTTCTATTTTGAGTTTCTCTGTTGAATTTTAGCAGGTTTCCTGTAAGTATTGAGATATCACAATCTTTCTCCTTAATATTGATACATGGTATACAAATCAGTTGATTTATTTTACTTAAACCTAAAACCAAACTTAACTTTCAGTAAATGTTTGCTGAAACTCACTAGTGAAACCATTAGGGTCTGGGGTGTTCTTAGTGAAAGATTCAATTATTGATTCAAGTGATTCTCCATTTCTTTTTAAAATCTGTTTTTGGTAAGTTACATTTTTTCCCTAAGAATTTGTCTATTTCATATACTTTGTGGAGGATTATATTTATTTAATTTTAGGAAAATAATGTGGTCATAGCTGAAATTTTAACAGACACTAATCATTTATCGTAACCTTGCAGAAATCAAAGCTTGATCACAAATACTACCTGATGAATGCCAATATCTGGCACTGTGCTAAATGCTTATTTTTTTGAACAGTGCTAATGAAGTATAACTGATATACAATAAATTACACATTTTTAAAGTGTACAGTTTGATGGGTTTCAGCATCATGTACATTTAAAAATTTATTGACAATGTAGTTTATAGTGTTTCTCTCAGAAAATTGTTTTTGATCACGTCAAGCCTCTCTAGTATGTTTCTTTTCTATTTTGTTAATTTCTGGTCTTTATTATTAATTTCTGCTTTTTTAGGTTTATTTTGCTGTTTGTTATGATGGGTGCATAACTTATTAATTTCATTTTTAATGTAAATATTTAAGGCTATCAATGTCCTTCTAAATACTGCTTTAGATAATACCTTATAGGCTTGGATATATACTTTATTTCCTTTTAAAATCTTATAAAATTGAAAGTAATTTTTAAAACACTCTCATTTTTTATTCATTAAAAATATCTTTATTTTGGAGATTTCAAATATATCAAAGTAAAGATTGGTCATTTCCCTCCACCCCCATACAACCATTTATCCAGCGATGATAATCAATAGCTTGTAGCCATTCTGGTTTAATTTATACCCTCTCATTTTCAATCTCTTTCTTTACCTCTACCCACCACAGAATTATTTTGAAGTAAATCACAGATCTCATATCGTTTCTTCTATAAATATTTTATTAACTCAATATAAGTTTTAAAAACATTCACACCATTATCACCATAAAAATGTAATAATTCCTTGTATATGTGTTAGTTGCTCAGTAGTGTCTGATTCTTTGCAACCTCATGCACTGTAGCCCACCAGGCTCCTCTGTTCATGGAATACTCCAGGCAAGAATAGTGGAGTGGGTAGCCATTCTCTTCTCCAGGGGATCTTCCTGACCCAGGGATAGAACCCAGGTCTCCTGCATTACAGGTGGATTCTTTATCATCTTAGCTACCAGGGAAGTACCAATAGTTCCTTGGTATCATCTAATATCTAGTCAGTATTCCAGTTTCCTTTGTCTCATCATTTTTCCATATACTGGAATGTGCAAATCTTAGTTGTATTAGTACAAATGGCTATACCTATGGAACTCACACCTTTATTGTGATAAAGAACATTTCCTTTGCCTCAGAGAGTGCCTCATGTCCTTTTCTAGTTAATCTCCCCACCCATCCTGCAAGTACCCACTGTTACCATTTCTTTCACCTTAGATTACTTTTGCCTGTTCTGAAACTTCATATGTTTGCTAGCAAAAAGTGAGATCATACAGTGTGACTACTTTCTTACCTGACTTCTTTTATTGAACATGTTAGTGAGATTCACTCATGTTATTGAATATATTAATTTTTTTTTATTTTGTAGTATTTTACTGTAGTATGCATATACCACAATTTATCCACTCTTTTTTGGACATTGCGGTAGTTTCCAGTTTTTGGTTTTCGTTAATAAAGGTGGCTGTGAACATTTTTGTACTTCTGTTTGTGGGAAAATGCTTTCATTTCTCTTCAATAAATACTCAGGAGCAGAATTACTGGTTCAGGGGGTGGGTACATGTTTAATTTAATAAGAAGCTGTGAGAACTTTTTCCATTTTCCCCAACGGTCAGTCTATGAGTTCCAGTTGGTCCATATCTTCACCACCATTTTGTGTTGTCTTTTTAATTTTGGCCATCTAGCAGGTTCTTATTGTGGTTTTAATTTGCATGTCCTTGATCACTAAAGATGTTGAGAAAATTTTTCATTTAGATATGGTTCATTTTTTAGTACATACTTCATTTTGGGGGAGCAAGTGAAAATTGTATTTGCATCATATTTAGTAACAAATTAGAAACAAGATAAATCCAAAGCATTGAGTATATGAATTAACGAGTATACCTTTGGGTAAGGCAATATAGATTCCAGTTTGGTGTATAACAGATTGTCCTGACCTGTTATTACTCACTGCCTTGAAACCCACAGCTCTTCTTTTATGCCTTTCCATTATTTTTCAGTGTTGAAACTTCATCCTTGTTTCCAAAAATGATTCATAGACAAAAAGGAGACGAAAACCATTTTTACCTAAACCCCAGTACATAAATTATCTCTGCTTTTCCCTTTCCCAGAACTATATTCTTCTGTCTGTTCTTTATCACTGTTCATTCATTGTATCCAGACTTTGAGGGTCCTTAGAAATCTAGAGACTCTGTGTTGAGAATGGAATTTCGTCTGAGGGAAGTCTCTTTAAGAATTTAATTTTAATTAAAATTTTAAGATTTAATTAAATAAATTAATTTAATTTAATAAATTAAATAAATTAAGATTTTTTTAATGGTGTTTTAGTGTAGCAGTTAACTTGAACCAGAAGACGTTCTACCACAGTAAGCTAGGAATGCATATGTAAGGAGTGTTCCAATGTTACAAAGATGTATTTGCTTTCTTACAGCAGCCTCTCATGATTCAGATTCTGGCCATGAAGCCCACGAAGATTCTTCAAAGGAAAATGTATTGTCAGATGCTGCCTGTACTGATCCCAACCCAGTGCCTAATGATGATGGCAAATCACATGAACTCTCTAACCTTCGCCTGGAGAACCAATTGTTAAGGAATGAAGTTCAGAATTTAAATCAAGAAATGGCCTCATTGCTTCAAAGGTCCAAGGAAACTCAAGAAGGTAGAGACTTATCTAAATTATACAGGGTTAGGAATGTAGCATTTCAAAAAATATACTAAAAACTTGGTTGCATTTACACTGTTAGAAATATTCTGGATGAGACTTGTAGAATAGTATTTTCATGGAAATAGAGAGCCCAGATTTGGAAATGCTACTTGTTATCCACCTGAAACAGACCACTGATTTATTTGGTCATCCTTTAGAAACCATGAATAGGAAGATGTATTAAGACTTGTTAAACTGACTTCAGAAGCTTCACTCTTTCCCAGGCTGATTTAGGCATAGAAATATTTCCCAGAGACCCTGTACAGTTTGCTTCTGTATTTAAAACAAAGTGATTTTTGCTGTCAGGCTTATAATTACAGATGGTGTATAGGGTATGGAGATCTATATTGCATTGCTCTTTCTGCCCCACCAGTTTTCTAGGTTCAAAGCACATTTATTTTTTTTTTTGCCACAGTAATGGAAAGAAACAGATTCTTCTCCAGTGTTTATCTTCGGATTTTTTGTTTCTTTTGATCCTACTGGGGTATACATTGTCCACCCTTGATTTGGATTTGCATTCTTTCACATCTATAGCAGAACTCCCCAAATCCACTGACTGTTGTAGTCTTGTGAGCTCTCTACCGTCTACTGTTTTGGCTTCCAAATGCTTTACAAAAAAAAAATTTCTAGAAAATCAGATAACTTCATGTCCCTTTCCAACCAACTATAGTATAAGGTATGAGTATTGGCCTTGAAAAATGGAGATCCCTCTTGGAGCAAAAAATTCAAATATATTTGTAAGCTCCTAATTTTGGCAATAGGTACTAAAGGGATTTAAAGGAGAATCTTTGTGTGCTCTGAGAAAGACATGTTTGCTTATATGGAGACATTTCCTTCTTTCTTTTCGTTTCTTTTCTTTTTTTTTTTAATAGAATTAAACAAAGCAAGAGCAAGAGTCGAGAAGTGGAATGTTGACCACTCAAAGACTGATCGAATAACTCGAGAACTTCGAGCCCAAGTCGATGACCTGACTGAAGCAGTGGCTGCGAAGGATTCCCAGTTGGCTGTATTGAAAGTGAGACTCCAGGAAGCTGACCAGCTGCTGAATACTCGCACAGAAGCACTGGAAGCCTTGCAGAGTGAAAAATCACGGTAGCTAATTCTATTAATAATGAAAAAATGAGCTAGAATTTTTTTTCCATTTATTTTTATTAGTTGGAGGCTAATTACTTTACAATATTGTAGTGGGTTTTGTCATACATTGACATGAATCAGCCATGGATTTACATGTGTTCCCCATCCCGATCCCACCTCCCGCCTCCCTCTCTACCCAATCCCTCTGGGTCTTCCCAGTGCACCAGGCCCGAGCACTTGTCTCATGCATCCATCCTGGGCTGGTGATCTGTTTCACTATAGATAAATATACATGTTTCGATGCTGGAATATTTATCAGTGCACATAATGATAAACATGGTAGTCATACCATCTTGTGAAATTTTCTCTTTGGAAATTTGCAACAGGGGAAAACGTAGCTTTTGGTTAATGCTGGAAATGTGTGTGATTAAAAATGGATGTATTATTTGAATCTTGAGATGCACCGTTAGCAAATTCTGAATTTAAAAATATTTGAGGAGCAGTGTCATTAATCTTTTGACATACAATAACATGTGGTATGTGCTTGTATTTGGATGCCTAAAAATATAGATTACAGTCCATTGAAAGGGAAAAAGACTTCTCAAAGAATGCTTTAGTCAAAACCATCTTTTTATGTGTGCTAATTTGCTGATGCTCTAAAAATTATTCTACCTTTTCGCTTGTATACATGGAAATAAGTTATTTCAAGTGATGTATTTTCCTTTAGAATAATACAGGATCACAGTGAGGGTAGTAGCCTGCAGAATCAAGCTTTGCAAACTCTTCAGGAGAGACTGCATGAAGCGGATGCCACTCTGAAGAGAGAGCAGGAGAGCTACAAACAGATGCAGGTCAGAATGGGGACAGCGGGGCACTGTTTTCTTTTTTAATACTTATTTTTATTTACTTATTTATTTGGCTGCACTGGGTCTTAGTTGTGACGTGTGAGATCTTTAGATATGGCATGTGGGATCTAGTTCCATGACGAGATCGAACCTGGGCCCCCTGTATTGGGAGTGTAGAGTCTTAGCTGATGGACCACCAGAGAAGTCCCATGGCTATTTTATTATTTGAATGAGGAGGAATCACTTTATATCATTCATAGCACATGTACCATAATAAAATTCTGCAGTGTATTTCAGAAAATTTTGTTTCTGTGACAAAAACTAAGTATTTGGATATTTATCTTGATCCTTGCTAAATGTATTTACTTTTATACGTTGAAAATGTAAAACACTACATAGTATTCATTAGATGCATACATCTTTTCGTTTAATTTGATTGTGCAACAAGCATTACCATTATTTGATTAAAAGCTAATTTGAGGAATCTCATTTATTCTTTTTATTTAAGCTTTTGCTGATTCCAGGTTAATCTGATTCTGTTATTGTAAGAGAAAATTGTATATCATATTTATTTAGAATTATGCTCTTAAGTGAATTTTTGCATCTAGTTTAGTGATTTTTCAGCTCTGACTCAGAGAGTAAAGAATTTGCCTGCAATGCAGTCGACCAAGGTTTGATCCCTGTGTTGGGAAGATCCCCTGGAGAAGGAAATGGCAACCCACTCCAGTATTTTTGCCTAGAGAATCCCATGGACAGAGGAACCCGGCAGGCTATAGTCCATGGGGTTACAAAGAGTCGGACACGACTGAGGGACTAACACAAACACACAGCTTTTGAAAATAAGGATAAAATATAAATAATTCTCAGAACTAAATTTAGGCTAGTAAGGAATAGACCTTGTATTCTTTAGAGTGTACTTTTAAAGTTTCTTAGGCTAAAAAAAATTACATTGAATAGTTTAGTAGACAGTTTGAAATAAAGGAAAAACGTTAGCCATGATATTAGAGAAGATATAGCTGTGTAGCTGTGTCTTCCATTTGTTTTCTAATAGACTTTGTAGTTTTCTGTAGACCTTTATTCATTGATCAGTTAGTATCAGATTAGACCTGGTATCCAAGTGATCAGATTCACCTGAGAAACTGATTAAAAAAAGATTTCCAAGCCCAGTCTTAGAAATTTCAATTCAGTTGAGCCCAGGGAAGGCCTTGGTTGGCTGTATTTTTTTTTTTTTTGGCTGTATTTTTAACAGACTCCCTCATTGATTTTGATGCGTTGCCATGTTTGGGAACCACAACCTTAGAGTTCCGGTGCCTCACTTCTTAACAAATGAAGAACTTTTTTTTTTTACCTCCCTGTTTCATGGGCTGAGCTAATAAATCTCATAAGATATCTAAATGGATGGTTGTAAACTCTCTCAAAGCAAAATGATAATGAGTATGATATAAAAATTTACCACAGAGTGAGTTTGCTACACGCCTTAATAAAATGGAAGTGGAACGTCAGAATTTGGCAGAAGCAGTTACGCTGGCAGAAAGAAAACACTCAGATGAGAAGAAGCGAGTGGATGAGCTACAGCAGCAAGTCAAAGTGCTGAAGTCCAACTTGGACTCCTCTAAGCAAGAATTAGCTGACTACAAGCAAAAAGCTACTCGAATACTCCAGGTAAGCCTGAGATGCACGTGTTTGAATGTTAAGACAGGCCAGTTGACTGAGAGACACTCTGAAGCTCTTTGTAGATCTGTGAGGTGCTTTGTCCCTTTTGACTGGGTTGGCTTACTTCAGGTATCTTGTTCTCCTTAGAAATATTATAAAAAGATGAAAGGTTTCCTGTTTCCACCACTTTTTTCTTTTTAAGAAAAAAATTCATCCTTCCACTACCTAGTTCAGGTCTTCAACCTGTCACCTTAATCACCATGATAATGTCAGTGTTTGTCTTTAACAGTTGTTCTATTCTCCCCTGTTGGTTCTCTTTTGAATTTTTCAGAGCGATTGGCCTAGGCCTCCTCCCGCTCTCAGATCTCCTCTCCCACCTTTCCACCTTCGCTTTAATTAATTCAAGACTGTAGGCATCTAATGTGGCTTTCAGCTTCTCTTTCCTTTGCCTTTCGTATCAGAGGGAAGACATGTCCTTTCAGTTTTTACCCGCCTTGGATAATTTTTTGCCTCTGCGTTGATTCCTTCCACCTCATTTAAGCCCATTCTCCATTAAGTCTGTCCTGTGTCTTCCTCTGTGTCTTTGTCTCTGTTGCCTTCTTCAGGCTCATCCTGCTCAAGAGCATGTGGTTACTTAGTGGAAGAACAAAGACTAGATCTTGAAACCCTTACCTATGGTGGAAGAAACATCGCCTTTGGCTCTTTTGATCACTTTGATCCATTTTTCTGTCCTCCTTCCTCCTTTCTTTAATGCCAAACTTGTCAGAATTAGGGCTTCCCTGATGTCTCAGCTGGTAAAGAATCCACCTGCAATGCAGGAGACCCCAGTTCAATTCCTGGGTCGGGAAGATCCCCTGGAGAAGGGATAGGCTCCCCACTCCAGTATTCCTGGGCTTCCCTGGTGGCTCAGCTGGTATAGAACCTGCCTGCAATGTGGGAGACCTGGGTTCAATCCCGGGGGCGGGAAGATCCCCTGGAGAAGGGAACGGCTACCCATTCCAGTATTCTGGCCTGGAGAATTCCATGGACTGTATTTGTATAGTCCATGGGGTCACAAAGAGTCAGACACAACTGAGTGACTTTCACTTTGTCAGGATTAGTGTTCTGTCTCCTCCATTTTAGAACTATTAACTTTAACTACTTCATGTAATTTCTGTCCCCACTACATTTCTGAAATTGTCTTCTCAAAAGTCTTTAATGACCTAAATATTTTCTGTCCTCTTATTAGTTTCCATCCACTTTGATTTTGGTAGAATATTTTGACCCTGTGAACCTTCCTACCTTCTTGAAAGTTGCCTTGTAATTTTACTTCTACGGCCTCAGCTCTGTCTTCTTTTTACTGCTGTTTCTCTTGGGTGCTCTTCTTCTGTCCTTTTTTGTTTTTCTTTCTTCTTTGCTGTTATTCTTTCTTACTTTTCTTTGTCATATACTCTTGGTTCTGTCACTTGATGTGACTTCAGCCTGGCTCCAACCCTAACTTTCTACCTGGTTTCTAAATGCCTGCTGTGCTTCTCTTCTTGGGATATGGTATTGCAAACCCCAAATCAGCTTCCCCCTCATTCTCCTGTTTTGGTAAATAATATTGCTATCTTCCTAGAAAATGAAGCTTGAAACCATAGTGTCATTTTGACTTTAGCCCCTGCCTGCTATTGGCTAGGAACAGCTTTTTTTCTGCCTCTATGAAATATCATATCTGTCTCCTTCATACTCTTCTATGTAATTATTTGTGTTACATCAGTGTAATTTGTTAATTTATCTAAAAGTTCCTTCATTGAGCACCTAACTATTCACTTGCACTATGATAGGTGCTAAGCATACTGAGCTCAAAAGATGTGTCCTCTTTCTTAAGGGAGCATTCGATTTAGTGGGACAACACTGAGGCAATTGATATAATGAAATTATTGATATAATGAAAATATTGTTGATTTTATTATTGATATAATGAAAATATGAAAATATAATGAAAATGTCGATGCAGCACTGTGGGAGCTTGAAAGAAGAAGTGCTTAACCCCTGTCTGGAGATGTCAGGGATCACTGAAGATCTGTATGAAGAGGAACTTGAAGGACAAGTAGGAGGACTTATGATCGGGCAGAGATCAGAGATTTCAGATAACAGCCTATGCCAGAGCAAAGGGGGCCCAAGGGAACACAGTGTATTTAAGGGTTTACACTTAGTTCTCTGTTGCTGGGGCAACAAGTATTAGAGATCAAGAGACAGGAGGGAAGACTCAAAGACAATAGCAAATGTCAGATTGTGGAAAACCTTGCATACCAAGCAGAGGAATTTTGATTTTATCCTCTAGGAGATGGTAGGGGTGAGGTGTTAGAGAATTTGAGCAGCATGATCAGATTTGGCTGTAAGAACTGTGGCAGCCATGAAGAGGTGAGTGGAAAGTTGACATCTAAGATGGCATCTAGGATGATTCCAGGTTTCTGGTTTGAGTGTTCCCCTGTACTATCAAAGGGAAAACAGGAAAGACAGCAGGTTAGGGTTGAAGATTATGATAAGTTATGGTGAGTTTGCAAAGCTGATGTGACATTGAGGTGACAGTATCAGGAAGGCCATCAGAAAGAAATGCAGGTCTGAAGCTCAGTAACGAGGTCTGCTTGTTGGCCACATGGAGGTATGGAGATACAGATCTAATCCTGTTTATTAGAGAAAATTTGAAAAATGCAGAAAAGCTTGGCAGTCATCACCTGTAATTCTACCACATAAAAAGGAGAAACTGTTTTTGATGGAGGAGAGTTAATATTAATATTTAAGGTGAAGGTACCAATGGTCCCTGCTGTTCCTGGCCTTGGATTACAGCACTTTTTCAACTAGTCTTCCCACCTCGAATCTCTTCTTCCAACTCATCCTCATGCTAGGGATCAACAAACTTTTTCTGTAAAGGGTGAAATAGTACATATTGTAGATTATGAGGGCTGAATGTGGTTTCTGTTACATGTTCTTTGTCTTTACTTTTTTATAATCCTTTGAAAATGTAAAAGCTATTCTTAGCTTAGCAGGCTGTGCAAGAAAAGGCCACAGGCCAGACCTGACCCATCAACCATAGTTGTGAACTGCTGCTTTAAAGCGCTGCCAGATGTACCCTCCTCAGCCGCTTCTCCGGTCATAGCACTTCCTTATCCACTTTCTGGCAGTTGGTTTTAGACTGCCAAATAAAATTCAAACATTTCAGCCTGTTATCTGAAGGCCCCCCCAAAATTGATCCTAACATGCTATCTGACCACATCTCAGAATACATTCAGGCTGTCATGCTTTTGGATTTTTATGCTTTGCACTCTGTTTTCTGTACACCTTTTAAAATCTTAGCCTTTTTCCAGGACCAGTATAAGAGCTATCTTTTGAGTAAAGCCTTCTCTTCCCCAGAAGTGGTTTTTCCTGCTCAGAACTCCAAAAGTAATCTTCCTCCATCCAGCCTTCTCTCAGCTTGTGTTTACTGCCTTCTGTTGGATATTTGCCACTTCTCTTTTATTGTTAAGGCAGTGGGTACTATCTGGAGTGAGAGACATTATTTTTATTACACAGGACACTTAGCATAGTGCCAAACCCACCATAGGTGCTCCATAAATATCCGTTGAGTGGAATATGATGGGAGGGAAAAAAGCGTAAGAAAGAATGAAGAGAAAGTTTGAGAATACTCTTGTTAATAAGTTTTCAACAGTGAAGTGGTCCTGGGGACTACAGTCCAAGAACACTATACAGCAAGGCTTTGTTTCATTTTTACCCCTATGGATTTAACATTCTGTGGACTTTCTCTGATGGAGAACATAATTGAAATATTCCCATCGTGGTTTAATTGGTGTGTGGTAGATGATATTCAGTGTACAAGCTAATCTCTGCTTTGCTTATTCTTTTTTTTTTTATGACAGTCTAAAGAAAAACTGATTAACAGCTTAAAGGAAGGATCTGGTTTTGAAGGCCTAGATAGCAGTACTGCTAACAGCGTCGAACTAGAGGAACTTCGGCACGAGAAGGAGACGCAGAGGGAGGAAATACAGAAACTGATGGGTCAGATACATCAGCTGAGATCCGAGTTACAGGTAAGAGTCGTCACAGTGCAGCTTCACAAACAGCCGTTTACCTCCGGGTATCAGTAGTTTGAGAGGTGATGGATTCTGTATCTGGGGGGAAGGGTATTAGTAATGTGTGAAACTGCGGGGATATTAGTTACCAGATAGAAGTGGATCTAAAGCAGCAGGCTTCTTGTCCATTGATCTATTTACAGTTATAGGAATAAGAAACATAGGTAATCTGACTCATTTGTTCAACAAATACCAAGTATTTGCCGTGTGCCATGCATCTTCTAGGCTTAGAGTTACACAGGGACCCAGACAGAATGTTTATTTAATGGATCTAATATCCTAGTGGTTAAAAACAATTAGATTTGGGTTTACTTCTAAAACAAGGATGCTTTCTAATATTAGAATGGGCTTAGGGATGATCTTTATAGTTTCATGCATTTTCTTATAATTTATTGTTTTGTGTAATTAATATATTTAATCTAAAGGTAAAATTGGGCCACTTATTTATCTTAAACAAGGGGTCTTTGACATAGGAGGGGCCTCTGAGGATGAGAAAGATGAAGTGTGGGATAATGAGCCTTCTGTTTTTAAAAAAAGAAAAAAATTGTCTGCCAAGAATGTTTATCCATGCATCAACTTAGGAAATTATTGATTTTTTAAGATGTACATGAACAACAGTGAAAAGTGCGGAAGTGGTAAGAATGGGCTGGCTTGTCTAGGGTATAAGCTTGACTGTCCGATCTAGATGCAGATCCTGTATCCTGGCTTTGGTGCTTAATAGATCTGTTACCTTGCAGCAGCACCACCTTTCACTGAGCCGTAGTTTTCGCCTCTGTAAGTTGAGAGTAAGGTTCTATAGGGAACCTACGTGTAAAGGGCCTTGCATTGTTCCTGACACATAACAGGCTCAGTAAATAGTAGCTGCTGTTATTTCAGAGTTTTTTTCTTATTATCCTTTAAATTTTAGGATTTTTTTTTCTATAAATAATTTTGAATTCCAAAGACTTCAGTCCCGTGAATTTGAAATTGAATAAACACTAAACTTTTTGATATTTTCATATATATTTTTCATATATTCCATGTCTTTTTGGTGAGATGGAAAACAAGATTTATTTTAATATCTCATCCCTACCCCAGCATCACTGATGACATTGACACATCTCTACCCTTTCTCAAGAAGTTTATGAAGCTGATAATAAGGGCCATAGTATTAGGTCTGGCAAAATGGAAGAATTGGTAATAATTGTAGTAGCTGTCATTTGCTGAGCACTTAATGTGCCAGGCACTGCACTAGGCACTTGACATATATCCTTTCATTTCTTCCTCCTTTTAACCCCTTGAAGGAGATGATGGATTCTCATTCTACAGTCTGAAGAAATCTAGGTGTGGAGAAGGAGAGTAACTTGCTGTGACTCGTAAGGTGGCAGAGCCAGGATTAGAACCCCGGTCTGTCTCATGCCAGACTCTGTACCCTTAACCACACTGCCCACCTCTTGAGAATCTGTCTGATTTAGCAAATTGATAACAAAAATTAGTCTACTTTCTACTAACCCCAAAAATGGTAAGGAAAAATAATTTAACCTATTGCTGTTTCCTGCTGCGTCCACACAGTAGTGTGAAAGAGTATTTTACCTTGATTATCTGGGAGTATCATTAATCTATCAGTTCTTTTCAAATGATATGTGAAGTGTGCAGAGTTTGTGGAGTTGAGCATATATACACAGTGTACCAAAAGATAAAAAGCAAAACTGAGATGCCAGTTTTTGTCTCATGTAGTACTATATGAACAAACTTAGGCTTACCCCATAGAGGGAAAATACAGAAACCTAAAGCAGGGTTCTTGCCACTAGTGCATTTCGCAGATAGTCTAGAAGGTGGTTTTGTAATTTGAAGAAGTGAGAATAGTGACACCAAAGGAAGAAGTTAGAAAGAGAAATATGGGAAGATGTGGAAATAGAGAATAGTAATAGAGCTAAAAGGAAAAAAAAGAATATGCTAATTTCAGGTGATATGAGAAAAAAGTTATATTTTTACTGTCTGTTGATTTCTGATAACCTACACATGTACAAAAACTAATTATAATCTACAGTTTTAGGGGACTAAGGCAGTGAAGTCCTTCTTGATGTTATATTTCTATTTCTCTTGAAATTGTTAGCTTTTGAACAGAGAGCAGACTCTCCCAGTGAGCTGCAGTCTGCTCATACCCATTAAACCGAATGGTTTCTGCCACAGCATCCTGTTCACTTCTCTCACCGTTTGCCGTGTTACATAATGAAGGGTCAGTTTATGTGCTCCTTCTCGGCTGTGTCTGTCTCGTTCATCTTTATCCCTCTAGCGCCTGCGGAGCCCCGTTCACAGCACATAATGACCACTCAGTAAATACTGAGCTGAACAGTTCATTATTGCTTTCACATGTAAGGTTCATCTTTTTAGGATATTGAGACTCAGCAGGTGAGTGAAGCAGAATCAGCAAGAGAACAATTACAGGATCTGCAAGACCAAATAGCCGGGCAGAGAGCCGCTAAAAAAGAGCTAGAGGCAGAATTGGACCGACAGAAGCAGGTACGGATTTTTTTGATTGAGGATTCCCAAGGAAGGCTGTTCACCAGCAGTCATATGAGGTGATTTCTAGTAAAGCAGCTTACTGAAATGCTTAGAGCTTGAGCTCAGAGGTCCCTCCGACCTTATTACTACCCCACCCTCCTCATTGTTTGTTTTTTTTAACAGATGAAATTTTGAAACATAGAATGACTTTGAGACTTGCCTAATATACAGCTAATTAGAGAATAAAATCCAGGATTCCTGTCCCAGAGTCCAAAATTCTTTCTACTGCTCTGTCTATATTTTATTGTATCTTCTTTCAGAGTGTGTATGTTAGAACACTTAATGACATCAGTTGATTTTCATCTTTTACCACATTTTACTTTCTAGAAGCAATAGTAAATTTTATTTCCTAGAAATAGAAATACGACATTAGTGCCATTATAGACTGCTCTTTCTGTTTGAGAAAAAAATGCTTGTCACAGGCTGTTTTTACAAATCATGCTTAAAATTATATTTCATTATTCAATTAGCAGTTGTCTGCTCTCCAAGCCAAATTATATTACTTTAATGTACTTATATGATAGTTTCAGTATTAGCAGAGTTAAACATGTTTATAGCCACATTTTCACAATAAGAATCTATATTTAATATTCATAACATTTATAATTTACTGAGTAACATCATTATTATAGGTACTTAGTATACATTATCTTATTTCATCTTCACAATGAAATCAGTGTGCTTTTCATTTTACAAAAGAGAAAGCTGTTTGTGTATTTCTCAGTGCATCACTTACAACATTATAGCTTTGCCTATTTATATTCTTTTTAAGAATTTTTTCATTAGGATTTATCATTTCTGAAACTGGTTCTATTCTTAAAGATGTGTTTGTTTTTATTATGAAAGTGATTGTTTCCTGAGTAGTAAGAGAAAAATTCACTAATAATCTGTAGGGTACATCATAGACTGTCTTAGATAATTTAGTTATAGGATTAGCTGTCCTTTCAGAAATTGCATTTTAATTTACTTAAGTCTACATTAAAAGGCAAGAATTTGATGTTCTTGATGGTTAGTGAGATAACTAATTTTATTATGACCCATGGTTTTACCACTCCACTTCTAGTGCCCTTGTCTAAGATGAGGCAGTTAAGTAGAGGAAAGTGGAGCTGAATGTAGCTCTAGGCTGTTTATTTAGTAATCAGATGTTCTGGATGGGAAGTACTTAATCTTGGGATCAAATAGTCCTTAAAGTAATTTAAGTACTTTCAGCCTTAAATTTTGTGCTAGCCTAGAGCTTAAAAGAAACCAGCAAACCTTCTTATAAATTGCGATTCCCCTACCTCAATACCATCCTCATTTCTTCTTCTCACTTAGCACAGTTTTTTCAACCTGTGCAGTGAGCAGGTTGAGTCCACATCACATGTGCTTCTTCATTCAGCTCGCTTTGCTTTGTCTGCAGTTACGTGATGCTTCTGAAGGCACCTAGTTAACAATTTACTCTTTCTTCCCTATCATCGCTTTACTCTTTAATTCTGACCTGACTCTTACTGATTGTGTCCATTGTACAGACTAGTTTGGTGCAGTTGTTAGTGAATTTGGAGGTATTTCTTTTTTTCCCTCTCTCGTTGTTTCATCAATGATGAAACAAAACAGTTGCAGGATACTGCCTAATAAAAATAAGCCCATGAAAAGCTGCTCAAAATCATCAGGGAAATGCAGATTGAAACCACAGTGTGATTGCACTACACGCCCCCATAATAGCCACCCTCACAGAGACTGGCAGTACCTAATGTTGGAAAGGATGTGGGAGAACTGGAACTCTCTCGTCGTCCTGTGGGAATGCAAAATGGTACAGGTATTTTGAAAACCATTCAGAAAATAGTTTGGCAGGTTTTCTTCCAATATGGTAGGCATTCACTTATCATATGATCAAGCAGCTCTGTCTCTACATAATCTACCCAAGAAAAAAGGAAACATATGACTAATAAAAATATGTGCTTAGATAGTCTATCATATACAGCTGGATACATCATGCTGAAGTGTTAGCTTTTCATCGTATCTCTTGAAGTCTGTTCAGTATATAGGCAGCACATAATGATGGAGTGCTTACTTTGTGCCGGGCACTGTTCCAGGTACTGGAGATGACATGGGAAGCACTGGTTTAGCTTTTGTTCATTTGTGCCTTACTGTGTAGGAATTCCGCTACATAGAAGAAGATCTGTATCGAACAAAGAACACGTTGCAAAGCAGGATTAAAGATCGAGAAGATGAAATTCAAAAACTCAGGAATCAGGTATGAAACAGTATTCACAACTTGAGGAAAAGGTATCATTATAAAACCTATGTTTTTTTAAGGATACATTAAGACTCCCCCCACCCCCCATTTTCACCTGAGTCCTATTTTTGGAGTCATGGTATGTTATTTTCAACCTGATACGGAATTTTCACCTAATGCCATTTGACTCTGCATTTGGTCTGTTCTTCGGCTTGCTTCTTATACAAGTATATTGTAACCAATCATCCAAGGAACGATTAATTACTCTAGAGTTTCATATCTTCTAACCTCATCGGTGGTTTTGCTGATAGCCAGTATTATAATTGTGGTTTCCTGAAAAAATCCAGTGATAAATCTTCTTACTAACAGGTCTTTCATTAAAGTTACTGACTTTTTTTTCAGCTGAAAATGCAAAACATAAAAAATAACATGTGCCTCCCACTCACACGCACTTACACATATAAAACCAAAACAGAAGTTTCACAAAATAATACCTTATGTGCTGTGCCCTCTATATATTACTCTGTTCTATTGTTGTTTTTGTGAGTGGCGACTGTGACCCACCAAATTGATTTCCTGACCCCCTGAATAAGTTAGAAAATCGCTTCTATAGATGGTGAAAAAATTGTAGAGTTTTGAGAAATCGCTGAGTGCCATGGATTCCCTGCAGGAATGTAGTAATGTGGTCTCTGTGGTGTTCTGTGCCTTTTGTTTGCTATAATAATCTTAGGAACACCTTGCCTTTCAGCTTACCAATAAAACCTTAAGCAACAGCAGTCAGTCCGAGTTAGAAAACCGACTCCATCAGCTGACTGAGACTCTCATCCAGAAGCAGACCATGCTGGAGAGTCTCAGCACAGAGAAGAACTCTCTGGTCTTCCAGCTGGAGCGCCTCGAGCAGCAGATAAACTCTGCTGCCGGAAGCAGTAGTAACGGGTCTTCTATTAACATGGCTGGAGTTGACAGTGGAGAAGGTAAAAAAGGGGGGGCGGGGGGCCAGGGCGCGGGGAATCCCCAAGGAATATTTCATTGCTTTAATTTCCAACGTTGCTAATTTGAACATGATCTGAAGAGTGACAGAAATACATTTTTGTTTAAAAAGAAGCTTTGTCCAGCAGACCACCCACTTTTCTCCTGATGTGAGGCTTGGTCTATATGCTGTTTGATATGATCATTAGAGAACTGGACAGCGGGCTGATTAATATCCCTCACTGGTTTGGAACCTGGAGAAGGAGGTCCAAGGACACTTCACAGGCTGTCAAGGACAAATAATTCACCTGAGAGGGGCTTTCAGGACTCTTAAAGTAAAAGTTGCTTTAAAAACCATAACTGTGAATATTAAAGTTAATATATAGTCAGTCACATGAGTATATCCATGCTTTATAATTTAAGTAGAGAAGTATGTAGATTCTCAAAATACATGATCAAGAAGAATGTTGAAGATTTTAGTATAAACTTCAGTCGAAGTGCCTACTCAGTATCAGGTGCTGTTGCAGAAATACAGTGGTCAGCAAAAGAGGCCAAAATCTCCGTCCTGTAGATCTTACATTCTGGTGTCATGGGGGACTACAGGGGAGGTGACATACAGTGAACAAGTTATATGAGACAGTGATGCATGCTAAGACAAAAGTTAAACAGGAAAGATGTACAAGGTGCCAGGTGTAAGGATGGGCTAATAACTCAAATAGGGTGATAAAGGAAGACCTCATCGAAAAGGCGGCATTTTATTGAAGTCTCAAAGGAAGTAAGGTGGTAGACTATGAAGAGATCTGCAAGAAAAGTATCCCAGGCAGAAAGAAGAGCAGGTGCAAAGGCCCTGAGGCAGCAGTGTAACTGGCACAGTGCAGGGGGCAGGGCAGCTGGGGTAGACTGAGTGAGGGGGCAGACCTTGGGAAGAGGCTGTTGAGGGCTGTGTCAGGACTTTCACTCTGAATGAAATAGGAAGCCATAGGAGGATCTGGAGAGGGGTGGCTGAGCTGGCCTATCTATGTTAACAAGATGTCTCCGGCTGCTGTGCCAAGAATAGACTGCAGAGAACGAAGCACTGAGGCAGGGAGACCAGGGAGGGACCATGGTGTTAACCCATGTGAGAGAGGTTGGTGACTCAGACCAGAGTGGGGACGGTAGGCATGGTTCAGGATTTATGTGGAGGGAAGCAGATAGAATTGCTGGCAGATCAGGTGTAGAGTCTGAGAGACAGAAGTCAAAGTGTTCGGAAAGATGGAGTATTTATGTACTTAGACGGGAAAACTGCAGGAGGAGAAGGTTGGCAGCAAGGGCAGGAAGTCAGGATGATGGTTTGGGGCGTGCTAGGTAGAGGTGTCCACCAGACATCCACATGGAGATGGAACGGGTACTTGGACGAGTCTGGAGTTGGGGGTGGCCTGGGCTGGAGATACAGATTTGGGAGTTACCAGCTTTGTAGAAAGAGTGTGCAGCCTCATTTTTGCTGGCCCAGGAAGAAAATGTCCATTAGCACAACTTCTTGACAACATTTGGTAAACTCTAATTTTTTATAATTTCATGGGAAAATAATTTTCTTGGTTTTTAAATTTTGACTTTTGTGGGTATGGAAGTTTAAATATTTTAACTTTTTAAAAAATGTTTTCATCTTTGGTTATATCACTTAAAAGTTGGCCTTAAGAACTTCTTCCACATGTAATATAATGTATGAAAGGGAAAGTATTAGTCGCTCAGGCATATCCGACTCTTTGTGACCCCATGGACTGTAGCCCACCAGGCTCCTCTGTCCGTGGGATTTCCCAGGCAAGAATACTGGAGTGGGTTGCCATTTCCTCCTCCAGGGATCTTCCCGACCAGAGACTGAACCCGGGTCTCCCGCATTGTAGGCAGATTCTTGGCCATCTGAACCACCAGGGAAACCTGATATAATGTATGTTCAACTGTAATTTTGTTAGAAAATTGGATTTAGTGTCTTAAATTAATTATTTTCTTATTTAAACAGGCACACGTCTGCGAAACGTTCCTGTTCTTTTTAATGACACAGAAACTAATCTGGCAGGAATGTATGGGAAAGTCCGCAAAGCTGCTAGTTCAATTGACCAATTTAGGTAAGCCGTGCCAGTATCAATGAATAATGGACCGTATTTTTATAACATTTTCCAGTGGTTTCATAGTGAGTCCTGTCCAGCAGAGCTGATATAATTGTTCATTTATTTACCTACTTACTTAACTTACTTCTATGGCACTTAGCTTGTGGGATTAGCTCCTATGCCAGTGAACCCACACCTCCTGCAGTGGAAGCGTGGAGTCCTAACCACTGAGCTACTGGGGAATTCCCAAGCTGATGATTAAAGTGATGATGATCACCTTACTCCTTTCATGATATTTCAGTGTCATGAAATTTCTTTAAGAAGTCTGCCAGTGCCTGTATTTTATTGAAGGTGATTAACCCTGGCCATTTCTCTCCTTTCTATAGTAAACTCTATTTAAAAATTCATTAAATTTCATTGAGAAAGCCTCTGTCATGTGAATACATCCATTTGAACATTCTATCTCCCTTATCATATGATTAGAGTAAAAGATGCTTTATATACAAATGAATAGTACTGCTTTTAATATATACTATATAAACAGCATAATTTATATATATATGTTATGTATATTTATAAAAAAAACTTTTTATACCAGCAGTCATCCACCTTATAAAGAAAATGTTTTGCCAGTGTATGTATATCACCTTGAGAAGGTTTATGTCTAAATAACCTAAACTCTCTGGCCTTTTAATTTTTGTAATTAAACATAGTTTAAATGAATTGTTGCACAATAGAGCAATATTTTCTTACCTTTTTGTGTCAGAATGGAGCTATGGTGTTAAAAATGAGGAGGACGATTTACTAATTTGAATTCCTGAAGCTATGGGCTTTGGATGCCATAGTTACTATCTCCAAATTATTGAGCACATCTATTTCAACTATTGAGTAATTCAACATACATACTGATTTTTAGAGAATATATATGCAAGGCATTGTGCTAAGGATAATGAAAGAAGCAGAAGGTCTTGGAAGAAAGGTGTATTTGTACATGTATTTGTCTTAGGGAAAAAATGTTCCAAAAGGCATGAGTAGTAAGACCTGAACATCATAATGCTTCCCACTCTTACTTGAAGTGTTTACCTGGATTTCTATAATTTTGAACCTTTTAGAAGTATGTGTCCATGCAAAAGCTCCCAGATTAGCTATATAGAGGTTAATTCCAACTGGACTCTTTTTTTCCTGTTCATGTATTCACACTTGCCTTTGGTTCCTAAAAGAAAAATGATTGCTAAAGGGACCAAGTTTGCCGTCTACAGTTGTAGCTAGAGAGAAGTGATAAACAACATAGATCTAGCACTTCCCTGGTGGCACAGTGCATAGCAATCCATCCACCAATGCAGAGGACAAGGGTTCGATCCCTGGTCCAGAAAGATCCCACATGCAGCAGAGCCTCTAGGCCTGTGCGCCACAGCCGCCGAGCCCGTGTGGTGCAGCTACTGAAGCCCGTGTGCTTACAGCCCGGGCCCCGCAGCGAGAGAAGCCACTCTGCTGAGCAGCCCTCGCAGCGCCACAAAGCGTAGCCCCCACTCGCCACGGCCAGAGGAAGCTACGCAAGGCACCAAAGGTCCAGCACAGCCAAATAAATGGATAATTAATTTTAAAATAATTTTTTAATGTTTTATTAAAAATAAATAGATCTCGAATATTCATATCGGAAAAAGAATGAAGAGAAGTAGCTTGTGCTAAAAGTGTAGCAATTGCCAAATAACAATAAAAGTATTTTTGCTCACTACTGTGATATTTTATATGGTTATTACAAGTAATCATTTAACAGTCTACTATAAAACAAAATTAATCTTTCTCTTATGGTGGCCACACAGTTTAAATGAGTAAAGTTTTAAAAACAAAAAATACGAGACATTATCACAGACATTATCACATGTGTGTTGAGTGTAACTCTCTCCTCTCTCTCCACCCCCACCCCTCACACAGCATCCGTCTGGGGATTTTTCTCCGAAGATATCCCATCGCACGAGTTTTTGTGATTATATATATGGTAAGTAAAGTTGTTTGAGGAAACAGTGCTGCATTTGATTTTTAACTAGTTTTTTTCAGTCGCTCATCTTTTTGACTAAATGTTTAGCAGTCAGTTTTGAAAGAGTATAGAATTCATCCCTGATAACTTCTTTTTCTTAAAGTATGCAAGTAAAGTCAATCATTCATTATGTCTGAAAAATAAATTGCTCAAAGGCTTTTCCTATAATAAAACTGTAGGGCAGTTTAATAGTTACGTGTATTTCTAAGCCTCTCAAATGATAAAAATACAATACGAAACAATTGACTTCACTTATAAAAATACAATACAGAACAATTGACTTCATTTTTATCTTGAAGTAAAGTTTATTTCCATACGTTTTGCTTTATTTCCTAAAGGGATCTCAAAGTTAATGTATATTCTTTTAGATTTCTTAGCTCTAATAAAATGCTTATCATAGTTTGGGTTGCTATGTCTTATCTTCTGTGAGCCTACTAACTGTTCTGAGTGGGGTTGTCTAAAAGCAGTTGAACTGAATTAAGACAGACAGTTTTCTTGAGAAGAAATAAAAGCACACCTAGAAATTTCTCCCTTGTGATCCACTAGAGGGAAGAGTTACTCCTTTAAATAAAAAGTTTTTAATTTGAGAGGGACGGGTAGTAAAGCAAAAGGAAAAAAAACTGAGTAACATCAGAAAGGATTCAGAATATGCCCACATCTGGGTCGGGAGATTATGAGGATCACAGGCACCCTCTATGAGCATGAGATGCGATGTTGCCCATCTGGTGTGCGAGGCGCTTTGTGATGGAACCTCCTCATGTCAGCATCACCGTGAGGGAGTTAGTGAAAATCTATCACTGCAGGTCCTATGCTGGACCCTAAGTCAGCCTCTGAAACCTGACACATTATTCTCATCTCCTCTTCACCAGATCATGGCTAAACCCCCTCTCATAATATCAACCATAACTCTGTTATAACAGAGACCCGTTCCAACCAACGTCATGTATATCTAACACTTTTAATCAGGCCATCTCCTCTGTATTGTAATCCCTTGATCGGTTAGTTATGTGTACATGTGCATGTTATGAATGTGTTCACAACTTTGCTCCTCTCAGCTGAAAATGCTGTGGCTGATATCGTTGCTCTTTCTCACACTTCACTGTACTCACTAGCTCACTTGATGCGTTTCTTCCTTGTTTCTCCGGTAAACGTGTGCTGAGTGCCTGCGGGGCTGCAGACAGAGGAACGGCAGGACACAGGGACACACGAGCCATGGCTCCTGGCTGAGTACACTCATTACGCTCGGTCGGCCTTGGGGAGGGCTGATTTGTTGGCTAATCCGTAGGTGGTTTTTTCTTTCTTTAGGCTTTGCTTCACCTCTGGGTTATGATTGTTCTGTTGACTTACACACCGGAAATGCACCACGACCAACCACATGGCAAATGAACTGAGCCTGGTTGATTCAGTGATCCGTCATCTTTCTGCAGACCTGGGATCTGTGGAAGAGTCACTTGCCTAAAATTCCTGAGAGGGGCGTGCAAGATTATTTTATCACTACAAGTACTGAACTTTTTAAGTTATTGTACAAGTACTCTGCTACCCAAATTTTCCTCTGATTTCCTTTGAATGGTAAGAGTTTCTGAAACAAAAATAACTTAACAAGCTCAGCTCTGCTTTTTCTGAGGTCAGCGGTACGGTGTATATATGTACACAAAGAGATGCTGGGGTTGGACACCTCTGGACAGGCTTCCTGTATTTTAGGTGACACTCATTATGGGTTATAATCAGGGAAACTAATTGTATTTAGTGATATAAATAAAATGTTTTCTTTTTGATAATTCACTCTGCCTTGTATTTTCATATATTTAACTTTGCAAATGTAGATTTACTTTTTACATGTTAAAGGCCTGATTGGTATAAATCTTTTTATAAATATGTGAATAAAATTGACTGTGCATTTTTCTTTTTCAAAATAATAGTTTTTCATCCCCATTAAACAAGACCTTTCCAGATGGGCGTTCATGAGTAGAGCCAGAAATCAGAGCCAGTGTCACTTGGAATTGCATTAGTGGTTTATACACTCTTTCCTCCCCATCCCCACCCTATGTGCTGTCTTCGTTTTATTTTTCTTTTTAAAAAGAAAATAATTTCTTTTTAAACTTTTTTTTTTTTTTTTTGCCAATCAACAGTGTGGTGACAGTTTCAGGGGTCAGCAGAGGGACCCATCCATATATATACATGTGTCCATTCTTCCCCAAACCCCCTCCCATCCAGGCTGCCACACAGCATAAAGCAGTCCTGTGCTATGCAGTAGGACCTTGTTGGTTATCCATTTTAAATACAGCGGTATGTACATGTCATCTCAAACTCAAACTCCTTAATCCCTAACTACCCCTTCCCCTAGTCCCGTGCCACCGCCGCCCCCGCCCCCCCCCCCCCCCCCAGCAACCAGAAGTTCATTCTCAGGCTGTCTTCCTTTGATTCTCACTCATCCATTGTCTTCCTCCACCCCTTTTCCTTTTCTCCATTCTTTACCTTGGTTTAGCTTGGGACATCCATCAGATTTGTTTTAACAGCACTGCATTTTAAAAATACTCCAGATAACTAATTATTCTTTAAAAAGGGACATTCTCTTTGCCTGAAGTCCAGTATAATGTCTGTTTTGGCTTTCCTTTCTATGTACATGTCTGAATCCTCATTTTGTCCACGCTAGGTACTGGTGGTCTCTCTTTGTATGTAAATAGCATATGGAGATCCTGGGCTGGGCACGGGTATAGTGCTTCCTATCAGGGATGTTATTGCCTTTGCAGTAGCCTGCCAGTGCCTAACCAAAAACCTGACCAATTCTGTTCTTAATGATATTGATACTATGACTTTAATTGTCCTATAAATTCTTCAAAGGTTTTGGTATACTAACTGTGTATGTTTCTTATTTTTTCATCAGAAATGGAGTTTTAAAGGTCATGTTAGGTGTGTTCAGGCTTTTTTTCCCAACCATGAATAAAAAAGAGAGTTCCATGCCATCTGAAAGTGGATATGAGATTTTGGAGGGTGGGGTAGGGACGTGTTATTAAATCTATGTCCTGGTTTTTGGTCAGGTGTCATAGCCTATTAGTCTGAGCTGGAAAGTCAAGTCTGATGTCAGAGTACAGTTTAGACTTAATATCTTTTAAAGGTTTTTTTTTTTTTTTTCTCTTCTAATTTGGAAACATTTCTGGAAAAAGATTAAAACCAGGTTGCATAGTTGACATGGAAAACGGCACATGCTTCATCATCGTGCATGGCCAGACTTCCCGTCTCCGCATGTCCTCCTGGCTTTTGTTGGGGCAGCTCTAAATCTTTTGTTGAGTTTTTACACATTCTTGGCTTTGGAAATAGTTTGACAAAGTGTTTCCGAGATTATTTCTCTGCAGTTACTTAGATCTTTAATTGAGTTTCAGTTTCAGTATTCTTGACCACTAACACACCAGGGGATTTTTTAAAGTCTCCCATTCACTTATTTATCCTCAGATAACACAAAACCTTCTTGACCTACTTAAAAGGATTGTGTGAAAGCTGAATTTTTTTGCCTTCTCAATGTACTGCTTTGTATTTATGGCTGTCAGTTGGAAAATAAGATTATTTTCTTATTGTAAGGAAATTTCCCTTTCTCTAGACTTTGTTCTTGCTAAAACCTACCATTTCTCTTGCTGCAGAACAAAAACTTCAAAGGAAAAGCATGGGTTTCGTTAAAGTGTGGAACTAGGTCTACCCTGGTTAGTTTTATAGTCCCAATAAGGGAATAAAGTCTGGGGCTGGACAGTCTAGCCTTCATTTAGAAAGACTTACGTATAGTCAAAGCTATGATTTTTCCAGTACAAATGTGAAAGTTAGACCATAGAAAAAGCTGAGCATTGAAGAATTGATGCTTTCAAATTGTGGTGCTGGAGAAGACTCTTGAGAGTCCCTTGGACTGCAAGGGACCAAACTAGTCCATCCTAAAGGAAATCAACCCTGAATATTCATTGGAAAGACTGATGCTAAAGCAGAAGCTCCAGTACTTTGGCCACCTGATGCCAAGAGCCGGCTCATTGGAGAAGACCCTGACTCTGGGAAAGGACTGAAGGCCAAAGGAGAAGGGGGCAGCAGAGAATGAGATGGTTGGATGGCATCACTGACTTAATGGAATGAGTTTGAGCAAACTCTGGGGGACAATGAAGGACAGGGATGTCTGGCATGCTACAGTCCATGGGGTCACAAAGTAGGAACGACTTAGCAACTGAACAACAACATACAACTCACCCTGGAGGGGAAAATCCAACCTACGTAAGTATGCCTCGCTGGGCTCTAACTCTCTGCTGCAGGAAGACAGCTGTATTGGAAAAGGCCCCATATGGGCATCTGGGTCTGGGTGGAAGTAGAAGGACAAAACGGGTAAAGCCAAAGGAACTGATGGCCTGAAGCACTTCAATTTGTGATTGGTCAGAAGAAAGAAATGACAGAGTAGTGTTTCAGTGGTTATTCTGAACACAATAAGGCTCGTATTCCTAGGAAATCTTTCCTGAGTGAGATTATGGATTGAATGGTTCTGAACTTCCACAGTTCTAACCTGGGGGTCTGTCTTCAGACACAGACTCCAACACAAACACCTCAAAGTAAATGAAATGTTCTTTTTTGTACAAACACTTGTTTGTCAATGGTGTTACATACAGAAACCTCATTTGTAAAAGATGTCTCAAAAGTAAAAAGTGGTGGTAAAATAATTTTAAGCCATAACAAGATAGGTCAAATTACGTGTCCCTTGTGCTGGCCCCTTCTAGGAACTGGGAATAGAGTGATGAACAAAAGTCCCCGCCCTCATGGAGCTTACCTTTGGCGGGGGGTGGTAAGACCACAAACGTATGCATGACTTGTCCCTCAGAGTTAAATGCTGTGGTTAAAAATAAAATGAGACAAAGGTACAGAGGGAGATGGGGAAGATGTGGCAAAATCCTCCCTGCAGGAGTGACTCTGGTGCAGAGCTTGAAGAAGGTGACAGCCATGCAAAGTGGAGCGGTTTAAGTGCAAAGCCCCTCCAAGAGGAACATGCTTGGTACAAGCAAGGAACAGAAGGGTCAGGAGGCCAGAGTGGCTGGAACACAATGAGGGGATGTGGGGTGGTGATGAGGGGGGGGGGGGGGCGGCGGGGCGGGTCAGTGTGGGATAGAGACCTGTAGACCAACGTAAGGACTTTGAAATCCCATTTAAGTTTCTCCTCAGCAGCCCCTCTGCCTCTGAAGTACCACATTATTTAAACAGGGGAAGGCTTTACAAATCTTAACGTTTTAGAAATCTACAGACTTACAGGGACTTCCCTGGTGGTCCAGAGGCTAGGACTCCATGCTCCCAATGCAGGGGCCTGGGTTCCATCCCTGGTCGGGGAGCTAGATCCTACACGCTGCAACTGAGTTCACATGCCACAGCTATTGCCCCCACGTGCCGCAACTAAGACCCGGTGCAGCCAAATAAGTAAATAAATATGTTAAAAAAAGAAATCTGCAGATCACAGTTGCTCCACATGAAAATGCTAAATTTGCTGAGGTGAGGACAGGCTGAACAGGAAGGGGTGATTTTCCTGAGCAGTTACAGAGAATACCAAGTCAAAGAATTGGTACTTTCCAACATAATTCCTTGGTCTCCACATTCATATTTGATGCTTCATCTTAGTTCAAGGACAAAGAGAAAAGTGAAGTCCAAGAGCAGAGCCCTTCATGTCTGAAGGCAAATGTCTCCCATCCTTTGATCAACCAGCCTTAGCACAGCTTACTGTCTGGCATTCCACGCTCATGCTATCAGAGCTCATAAAATGACATTTCTGATCCTGCGGGGACAAAGACGTTATTATTTTGACCGCACCACACACCTTGTGGGATCTTAGCTCTACAACCACAGTCTGAACCTGTGCGGTTGGTGGTGAAAGCATAGAATCCTAACCACTGGACCACCAGAGAAGTCCCAAAGACATTATCTTTTTTATTCACTATTATATCCTTAATGCCCAGAGCAGTGCCTGACACAGAGCCGATCTTCAGTTGCTCACTGAACTTCACTGACATTCAGGCGAAACACTCAACTAACATACGACTCCTTTAGAGCTCCATGGGCCTTCACTAGCATCTGCCCTGCTCATGCCGCATCTTTAGTTTCCAAAACTGAAGCAAAGAATAGAAACTAACCAGCCAGGTACGTGGCTGGAAGCGAGGATTTAGACTGGGCAGCTTGTCAGGGTTTTCACAAAGAAAGAAAAGCCATGTGAGTTTAAAATACAAAAGCAAAAGGTGACCAGCGGATATTGCTAATCCTAGATGTTCATAGTCAAGACCTTTAATCATCAGGGAAAATTCAGTCATGCTTAATGCCTCTCCCCTGAAAAAACAGGCAAGGCTGTTTACAGTGGAGAAGACTTCTGACAGCAAGAAGATATTTAG